CTGCAACATAACAAAATTGAAAAAAGTGAAGGGGGTCTGAATACTTTCCGAATGTACTGTAGGTCACCAGGGAACAGCTGCTATGACAAGGTGAAACTGAAGGAGCTTGATAGTGGATGCTCCCTGTGGGGTCTCCCCTCCTAGCTTGCCCCAAAGCAAAAAACTACTCATAGTTTTCCAGAAAATTGTAAAATATTGGCTTTTGAGAATTGATCAGTGTGAAACCACGGGCAGAAGAATGGCTTTTATTAATCTGTATTATTTTGTATTATGATATAGTTATTTTATTATTTTATCAGTTATTGCATGTTGTACATTGCCTAGAATACTAGTCAGTTGAGGCAGTAAGTAAATCTTAGAAATATATAAATCAATAAATCACATTTATTCAAAATCTCAATTTCTATCTTGAAAATGTATTCAATATAGGGCTGAGCAGTTCCTCTGACATGCCTCTCTGGATCTGCAAAAAGGAGGCATAAAACAGCTGCAGGCTCAGTTGATTGCTTCATGGCCCTTTCAAGGTCTTCTGCACAAGAATGCAGATACCCAGAAGATACTTCTGCTGAAAGCAGATCCAGAGTTGTTTTGTATACATCAAATAATCTGCACATGTCTACTCAACATGATTCATTATCACAGCCGCCACATTCTTGTTCAAACTCTTGTACTGCAAAGTTGTGGACATCCAAGTAATTTAAAACAATTTAGCAATCCCATTATTACTTGATGACATTATCATTCCGTTGCTACATCATTCCACTACCATTTTTCTAAAACATAAATATTATTTGATTCACTAATAAAAGTTAAATATAATACTGCAATAGTCACCACATTTCTTACCTTAGTAAAATTATTCAAATGGCCAAGTTTTCTCATATTTGAAACCCCTTGCAATTTGGCCACATTTTGAAGAATTTCTCTCAAGTTATCAGAGGGGTCTACAAAAGAAATGTGATATAGATAGATGAGACTAAGACAAACCATAGTGATATAGATAGATGAGACTAAGACAAACCCCCAAACAATGAAAAGCATACCCTTTAGGAAACAGATCAGAGTGAAGCTCCTTAAATTACCTTAATATCTATCTTTGAGCATTCTTGTCATGTGTTTTGATACACAAATCTATTCTACACTGGGGTTATTATTTATTTTTAAATGTGTGCCTTTTTCTGATCCAAAAGACAAAATTCTACCCAAATTAAAGACTGAAAAATAACTTATTTTATGCTAGTCACCCTGTAATCAATTGCTACGGCACAGAACAATATTAAATATTCAGCTACCATCAATGCAGTAAAAAAACTAAAAAAACTCTGCTGTAATATCCAGGGAGAGAAAGAAAG